GAATCTCTGCACGCATTCCTCTGTGAGTGTTGCCATGCTCTCTCTAATGAGGGCACTAACTGTCGCGCACCGCAATCGTGAATGGAGATATTCCTATGCAGCACCGAGACAGAGGCCCACTCTGTGTTCTATTCCGCTGCAGAATTTTTTAGTCTGCAAAAGCCAACGTGTAGAGACGGACAGCAGAAGATGTGCTTTGGAGAAGCTTTTACCCACACAATGTTCAAAAGCGACACACAATGAACTACAAATAAGTATAACCCGTAAAAACAAAGTTTTTCACTCTAAATCCTTTATATGCGTGGCGGCTAGAATCCTCTCGTCCTCTGGCTTGAGATGGCTGCCACCTATGGGTCAGATGATTGTCTGCAGTATTAAACAATTCGTAATTAAATATTTTATTTGTTTTCCCTAAACAGTGTAACATTTTGGGAAAAAAATTTCACGCACATTAATTGTCTCGCACAACGAGTCTGTGTGCAAAATGTCAGCTCGATTGGATCACGGGAAGTGGGTTAAAAAACGACCGAAAGGTTTGCACGGTCGTAAGCGCGCAAGCAAGCAAGCTAGTGAACTTAATATAAAGGATTTAAAAATAGGTTTTACCCTTTCTTTTAATTCTAGATTTGAAGCTTTCGTGACTGCAAGGATTCATATTCTTAGGTTTTTCGGTAAAGTCACTTAGGTAAAAAATACAAATTAAAATTAGTAAATTAAAAATAAAATAAAAATCACGACGTTTTGGAGGCTACACAAGCTTCCGTCTTCAGGTGGAACCGTCACAGCACGATAGCTGTATCAAGTGAGAGTGACGGTTCCACCTGAAGACGGAAGCTTGTGTTGCCTCCGAAACGTCGTGATTTTTATTTTATTTTTTATTTTACTTTTATTAATTTTAATTTTTTACCTACGTGACTTTACCGAAAAACCTAAGAATATTTACCCTTTCTGGCAATAAAACAAGTCACGTAGGTAAAAAATATAATTAAATAAATGAAAACAACTAAATTAAATCACGACGTTTCGGGCGCAACACGTGCGTCCGTCTTCAGGTGGGAAAGCATGGCCTACTGCTGATGCAGACCGTTTAATTTTTTACCTACGTGACTTTACCGAAAAAAAACAAATAGTATGAATCCTTGCAGTCACAAAAGCTTCAAATCTAGAAATAAAACAAGTGTTAAGATAGTCTTTGGGTAAAGTCACGTAGATAGGTTCAAATTAATTTAAAAATATATAAATTTCAACCTATCTACGTGACTTTACCGAAAGACCCAAAGAATATGAATTCCTGCAGTCACGAAAATTTTAAGTCAAGATTTAAGTGTTAAGATGTTAACCACACAAACATGTATGCCTATTTTATTGCCAGAAAGGGTAAAACCTATTCTTAATTCGTTTGATACTGCCAAATATGGTCCCATAGATACAGAATGAAGTTATTACAGAGAATAGATGTCTGTATTGAACAGGGCCCCATTGTTTATATGGAGTGCTCGTGCTTATAACGTCTGACAATCCAGCAGCATTTTGCTTTACAAGACTGACTCTGCCGTTGAGAGCCAGAAGATCAAAACCAGTCCAGGGGTTGCACCCTAAAACAAATGCAACCGCATGTGACTGGTATGGAAAACCGATATGCTGGCATATTAATCATGCACTTTATTGATGATGAGACATTAAACAGAATTAATATTTTTCTTTATATTTTATTGGGTTGCGAGTTTTTTTATTCAATCTTTAATTAATGATTTTTCTATAAAAAAAATAAGTCTTTTTTTTTTTTAGACCGAGGAGATATGTTTCTGGGGGGTAGTGGTGGTAGCAGTGGTTAGCGCAATGCACCATTACACCGGTGATCTCAGTTTGATTCCTGGCCACTGCTGGGGACTGCCATCACCACCCCGCATTGACCAGCGTGGCGAAGTATAGTTTACATCCTCATGACTGACATGGTGTGCGAAGACATTCATCCAGCAGTCGATTGACAGAGGGCTGTAAAGTAGTCCGTTTACGTGGCAACATCTCAACGCTTCTGAAGAGTTTATTTGCGGAGGGTCCTGCTTAAGACGTTTCGCCAATTCTCCATTGAGTATTTCGCACGTGGGATGCCGCGAGAGAGCTCAGAATAAAACCCACGCGCATGAGGTGACAGCACTCAATGATCCACTCACAGACCGACGATCGAATCGGTACACCGCAATCTACGGGCCACATTGCAGGCCTGCACACGGAAGTCACACGCCGATGATCTTCTCATGATCCATCAACCCACCTTCCGGAGCTCTGTATACAGGCGTGTTCCGACGGAATGGCTATCTACTCTAGCCCACACCGCACCCCCCGAAGGTCAGAAGAGGAGCACAAACTACGCTCGCTTTCCACAGCATCACGGCGGCAAATCAGAGCCTTCTAAATCAAGCGGAACCTGACATCCGGCAAAGCACTTCTGGGACCAGGTGAAAGCTCTCGATACTGCGCCCTCCTTTAATGTCGAGTCGGAGTGGAGAGCGGCACGAGACAAAGCCAACGCCCTGGACAAGAGCCTCGTCACCGATCAATCCCATCGCGGGGAAACCTGTTGGGATGGCCCCGCCAAAGAAGACACGGTCTGCTTTGATCCGCATCGGAACGTAGTCGCACCCCCCCACTCCTCCCCTGCATTGCGACTGCGGCTATCGAAACCAAGACGTGGAACACACATCGTCCAACGGCGCCCGACGCGTCGCTCGTTGACCGTCGACTTTTCAGATAATCAATTAACAACGTCGCTCCCGCAGCCCTCAACCGACTCAGCAGCCTCGACATCGACGCAGCTCGCGTTGCTAATCAGCCCGCCACACGAAGCCGGAACGGGCGTGCGCCGCCGCTTGTTATTGGTGTAACGCAGGTCGCCCTTGCAAAACAAGGGATGGTTTATCAATTGTCTCGATGGGTTGTCTTGCATCTCCAGTTTAAGTAGAGGATACGACAACAACACGAACAACAACAACAACAACCACCACCACGCCCAGCTGGTGGTATTGTTGTTTGTAGACGAACTCAAAATGCTAAATCGTAAAAAAAACATTTGTCCTGCTCTGGAGATGGATACAATGTGACAAGCTCTCATGCAGGTGCAAGCCGCTGGCAAAGCCGACTGACATTTTCCCTAATTGATGTTATGGTGCAAACCATCTGTATGAAAATAATGACGGGCTTTTGGAGAATTTCGGTGCGTGTCTAATTGCAACGCGCGAGCACATTGCCGAGAGCGGCTGTCGCGGGAACGTGGCGTAACTCACCTATTGTGGGCCATATGCTTGGTCTGTTTGGGACAGGCGGCCTTGGAAAATGCATTTGCCATCGTCTGTTAAGGAAATTTGTGCTTGCTTTCATTGCCAGCTTAAACCCGCCAGCAACTAATAGAAGCGCCTTACATCACGTCTCGTTTTTAATTGTGGTGCATAAATTGACACTGTTGGTAGGACAGAGGCAGGGAGGGTGGTTGGGGGGGGGGGCATCGGAATATTGGTTCAACCGCCGTGCCAGGTGAACGAGTCAAATTTGTGACCTCTTGATTGCACTGTTGGCTACGTACGGTAAAAAAGATGTTCAACGTACATTCCAATGCCAAGCTGTATAGTTATATATTCCTTTAGCCTAGGTGACCCCCTGATCTTCACAGCTGCCCCTGTGCGGCGCGATGTGCACGCAGCATTGGCCTGCAGGTGGACATCGGTGTTGTCAGTAGGGGGGCGATGTTGCTACGTGATATTCCAATCAAGTCATTTGCCGTAAAATTTAACAAAAATTGCCTCAGCTTACGCGAGGCCTGCTCTTTGTCGAACGGTGGAACACGAGATTTTTGACATCCACTGCTAAAGCAGATGGCGCAAATGTACGGTTAATTCACCCACAGTGTTTACCAGGGCACCCGGGGACTTGATTGGTAAACCTCTGCAGTGAGCGGTAAATACATTACCTCCCCTTGGCCGTGTTCGTGACTTTAATAACCGTGCTGGTTTGCTGGGGACCAACGTATAGGCAGATGTGAGATAGAGTAGAATTATGACAGTAACACCACGCACACATTCTGCACACTGGGTGGGAGTGGTTAATTGATCGGGGCGGATACGCGCACTGGTTGGATACGCAACATTGTGCTGTACGCAGGGCTTGATTTGTCGCTCGATATTTTCCCTGAACGCTGCTGATGCCTGGCTTGGAGTAGGGAGTAGGGATTATCGGCACGAGGCGCTACCACTGGAGTGCAAGGTGCACCTATTTATGATTGTCGTATATTGTTATTGTACTCTATATTCCTAGAATCACATGAACATGTTTATAGGAATTTAGGGTACAATGAGGACAAAATTAGCTGAGCTGGATGGGACATGGCCACAGTAGATTCTGGAACAGCGTTCCGGACGGCTCCAGTTGAAATGAAGCACTGACTTGTGGGTTGTGTGTTGGGGTGAGTGTCAGCCCTTCCTGCTGGGTAAGAACGTGTCCTGCACGTGGCTGTCACGTTTTCCCGTAACCGAAATGGTCAGGATCATTAGGGATGAAAGGGCTGCCCGCGAGGGGGGGGGGGGGGAGGTTGGAAAGGCCTGATGAGAAGAGGCAAGGAAGCGAGCCTGGATATATTACCCACGAAAGCCAATAAACAATCACCTCCCGCTCGAAGGCAGAGGAGCAAGGGAGGAACGCCGAATTGCGTCAAGCGACGGTGGAGGCACTCGCGGCAAGGGAAGGGGAAACGAAAAACGTACGCGCGCGCAGGCACGGGCACGCGCACGCGTCCGACAAAGCCACTTATCCCCAAAGAGGAATTATTATTATTGACCCGAGGATTTGGTCAGTTTCTCACGCAAGGTTTGGATTCAGTTTTGGATAAATCGTCGAGTCTCACCCGGCGGGCTGCGTTGGCGCAATCCCGGCGCACAGGGTGCCGTTCGAGTTGACAAATGGGCCGCGTGCTTTCTCACTTTCCTCGTCTCCCCTCTCCGTTCCTCCAGTGCTCGTTCCTGCCCAAGTTCTCCATCTACATCGAGACCAAGTACGAGGACAACAACGGCTGCAACGACCACGTACGTTAGCGGCAGCGCGTAAAGTGCCGCCCCTTCTGCTGCTGCCGCTGTGGGCACGTTGAGTCGCATCTCCCCGGTGACCTGACCAGCGGTAGTGGCATCGCGAGATAATTTTTTCGCGAGGGTTTTCGAGAGGTCAGGAAGAGGGACACTTTTGCGGTACTGAGCGACATCGCGTCGCTCGTCAACATCGCGTCGTCGCGCGCGCGCACCCTGGCCGACGGTCAAGGACATGGGCGGGGTGGCAGTCGAGGAATAGGGCCGCGTCTGAGAGGGCATCCTCCGCGGAGACAGAGCGATGGGCGTCGGGCTCTCGTACGCGCAGGTGCCAGGTGGATTTGTTACGTTGCAGGATCGTGAGGGACGGCGACGGCTTTGGGGGTGGTGGGTGGGCCTTCACCCAGTAGCGGATTGACAATGGCTGATAATGTATGTACCCATTATATTTTTGTATCTTTCGGTAATTTCACGTAGAAGAGAAATTATAAAATAATAAAAATACTACATTATAAAATTCTCACGACATTTCGGCCACAACACAAGCAGCCGTCCTCAGGTGAAGAACAGAGGTGTCACGAAAGCTTTAAATCGATATGTACCCATTAATAAGGTGTAAAACCCCCAAAAATATTATTTTACCAGGTTAAGGCCCCACTGAACTATGTAGCTCTTTTTCAGAAGCGACCTGGCCAAAAATGATAGCTCAACAAAGTGGCGTTTCATCATGTGGACAATTTATAGCCGCCAAATACTTTAAACGCACGTTGATTCTAAATGTGGAGGGAAAAAACCGGAGCACCCGGAGAAAAATCCACACAACCATGGAAAGAAAACATTCAAACTCCAAACATATACACGTGTAAGGGTCAGGATCGAACCCATACATTCCTATACAACCAGGGAAGGTAGTCAACATCCTGCCACCATGAGGGCCTTTAATGACCTTCATAAACAAAAGAAAGTGAGATGTGTCTCTCTCCTGAAAAGGCGCATTCGTTAACCAGCCACGTGGCACAGTGGCGCATAGCGCTAGACTCATTCGGGGCTCTATCCAGCCTATCGTCCCGCTGCGGCCAAGAACGCGAGTACCCCATTTTTTTTCTGGGGAATCGGCAGCGGTTGTCACACAGAGACCTGTTCTCGCCTGAGGACTGTGGAATGTGAGCCGCTGACTCAGGGCCACTAACTGAGGCGAGGGTCACCGCGTGCTCGTGTCGAGAGAGAGGCACTTTATCTATTTTTTTGTTTGTTTATCAAGGTTATTACATCACGGGGTCCATGAAATACGGCATCCAAACAAAGCAAGCGTTTGGATCATAGTTCACAAAGTGGAATGGCTGTTATTTTTATTTTAAACGGAAGATCGTCACATATACATGTGACGTGTGTTGGGACTCGCTTGCTCAATTCGTTATAAATTGCTGAAATGACAGCTTCAGTGCATGCAACCATATTTGTGCTTTTCCATGATCACGATAAACACATACGACCATGTGCACATTGGCCCACGTCTTGCCAAAGCTCCCAATAATATGTATGATTTCGATATGCATATTAATTATAATATCGTGCCATGGTGTAATGGTCAGCACATTGTACTCGCACTCCAGAGGTCATGCAATTTGATTCGTTCTCCTGGCACGGCAGTTGAACCAATGACCGATGATGCCCCCTGTCTCCGTCCAACCAACGGTGTAAATGTGCCCACTACAATTGGTCAATCGGCAGATCACGGAGTAAAATGTCGGCGCTTTCACCTCCTCCCAAGATGTCTGGTCAGCGTGGAAGAGTAGGCCAATTGACCTTGTCGAGGGGATCTCTGGAGCTGCCTTTAGTGGAGGTCATTCCACCAGCAGTGGCTTGAAAATAACTTTCACGGGCTGAACCTTCACCTGTTTTTTTTCGTACACAAAAGTTGAACGCTGATGAGCGTGCCACGGTAACACGTGCTGACGATCCAGCACTTTGGAAGCTAGGATTGGTGGATCACACGAATGCTGTGAAACTCCCAAACCTGTTTACCACCTAGTAGGCTTTCGCGACCAACATTATCCATGATAGAGGTTTGTGGGTTAGATCGCGTGAATATAAATGCGTCGTTAAACCCGTCACCACCCGACACAGCCACTTACTAAGGTTTGTCACGTAAACAAAACGTGCCAATTTCGTTCCTCGTTCAGAACAGCGCGGTGTGTTGGAGAGTAAACCCACAACATTTACAGTTCGAGTACGACGTTTCGCTGCTAATTACAACCAGCCTCATCAGGCGACAGCCAGATTAGTGGTGAAACGCTCCGGTTTCGATCTTAAACCTGCTTGGCTTGTGAGGTGGCAGTACGGCAAGTGCATCAAATTGTCCCCTCACATCTGTCGTGTTTCCTCCGAGTACTGCGATGCCCAAATTTCATAAAACAAGACCCTCATGAATTACTCTTAAGATTCAGTGGGGCATTGACAGCCCCTGTTAATCCACTGCTGGATGAAGGCCCTCCCTATGGCATGCCAATCCTTGGGATTGTTTCACGATAAACAATGCGCATTGTTATTGTAATGTTACGAATGTGTTTGTCCGGCATCATCTTTTAAGTGCCTTTCAAGAAAACTTGCACCGCACACACGAGACTTACAAAAGGCAAGGTTTGCACGAGACTCGAGGAGCAAACGTTTTATCGCGGCGATTCAACAAAACTTCTGTGTTTAGCAATTACCCCTCGTCCGGAGCGGACAGCAAATGCCGCGGTGTCGATTTCTCTCCCCTTTTTGTCCGTAGGTGTTCGACAGCGAGACAAATAACATGGAGAGAGAAACTTGCAAGGTGGACATTGCGTACGATGAACTTCCGGAGCGCTACTACAAGGAATCTGAGGTGAGGTCTCATTATTCAACAAGATAAAGGTGCAGCCCTGAAATGTCGTATTCACAACACTGCTGGTGGGGGGGGGGGGGGGGGGCGATGGGCCTCCACCATGAACAGAGCTTCGGAGAACACCTCTTAAAGGGTATTTTGCCTACTCTTCCACACTGGACAGGCTTCTTTGTGAAGACTTGCAAGTACCCCTCACTTTAGCCCACCACACGTAACCCGCCGATCGATGAACCGGCGTACAGAGAGGCGGTTGGCGGAGGAGGGGGGGAAGGGATTTACACAACTTGCCTGCTTCAACCGCCGAACCAGGAAGATTGAGTCCAGTTGCTTACCATCAAAGTACGCGAGCAAGGTGCCGTCATTTCTTGACGTGTTAGCCAAACAAACAAAGGAACAAGAAATATATCCTCGCGTTGTATTTTGCCCAGTTCCACGCCCGGGCTATGAACAACGCTGGCAACAAGAGACGATAAAAACAACAACTCTGTGAGAAGCAACAGGAAACCCCGCCGCTAACTTCTGCAAACGCAGCGCTTGCCCGTCTGCAGAGAAGGAGCGAGCGTTTATCGATTGTGACACGACGGATAGGTCTAAGACGAGCTTTCTTTCAGGGATGTGTCCAGCCAGGACGGGCTGCTTTCAGCAATGCCTCGTTGGCCAATGTATACTCTGTCTCGGGAGTTTCTTTTTCCAATTGCGGGTTACGTGGACAGGTGGTTGAACTGAACGTCCGGAACGAGAAGATGGCGTGTGATGCACCTAAGCACTGTGATTGGTACCTCGTGGAAAAAACTGCGTGGATTTCCTTAGTTCTGTTTGGTATTGTACAGCTCTGGCAATGTCGCCGCTCTCCTATTGCGTTCAATCACTTGAAGTGGACTTGAGTGTGTCACTCACTCACCCAAGTGAAAGCCACAGGTCTCCCTCTGATTGCTTTGCTGGTGGGCGATGGATGCGATAACGGGAGATTTAATTCCTTCGAATGTCATTGGCACCGGGTGGATAATGTTCTATCTACCCAGTACCAATGCTTGGATTCCCTTAGTTCTGTGTGGCATTGTACAGCTCGAGCAACGTCGCTGCTCTCCCATTACGTTCAATCAATTGAGCCGCCTGCAACGCGACTCTTGAAACCGGGAAACCCAAGGTGGACGTGAGTGTGTCACTCACTCACTCACTCACCCAAGTGAAAAGCCACAGGTCTCCCACTGATTGCTTTGCTGGTGGGCGATGGCTGCGATAACGCGAGATTCATTTGCTCTGCGTGTCATTGGTACCGGATTGCCAAATGAATTGTCGATAATGTTCGTTTGGGTTTTCACTGGAGCATTCATTTACGTCAATTTTATTTTTTTCATTTATTTATCAAAGGCTCAATGGGGGTTTGGAGATTTTAGGACAAGTCCTTCTTAAGTATTTAGGTTTATGGGTGAATACTACATTTTCTATTGAAAATAAGCACCTTCACAGAACTGGATCTAACAACCCACACATGGATTGGGCAATCAGCCACACTTGCTCTCTCGTCTTTTCATCATTATTATTTCCAGTTTAACACGTAGGCTTTCGCGACCAATATTATTCATAATCAACGTTTTTGGGTTTAGATCGCGTTATTTATAAATGTGTCGTAACCCTCCACCACCAGACACGGCCAATCAGTAAAAAAGTGTCACGTTGACAAAAGACAAATAGTTCACTGCTTTAGCCCACCGGTGTGTTGAAGCGTGAAACTGTAAATGTTGTGGTATTTCCATACAAATGGCTGCCACGCACACGTGATATATATACGTACATGTTTTTTGTTTTACCAGTGAGCTGTGTTTCAGAAGCGACATGGCCACAAATGATCGCTCAACGAAGTGGTTTATCACGTGAAAACGGATGGCAGCCAAATGCTCTCAACGCATGTTTCTAAATGTGGAGAAAAAAACCAAAGGACTCAGAGACAAAAAAAAACACATGACCGCGGTGGAGAACACGCAAATTCCAAATATACAGGTATCAGGGTCTGGATCGAACCCACGACCTCTCGTGTATATACCAGGCAAGGTAGTTAATTAATATCTCGCCACCATGGCACCCTGTGCGTTGAATCCAAAGAAAACAATTATGCATTGTGGATCGCAGTGGGAGGTGATTTTTTTTTTACCCGAGTTTTGTTAACAATTTTAATTAATGTTATTTTCATGGCTAAAAATAAAGAAATGGCATTTATGAGCATTTTTTGCATTTATGAGAGCTCACACCTCTGCAGACGCGGGTTGCGGAGTTTGAAACAAAATTCTGCTTCCGAGCTGCATGGCGACTGAAGCATGATGCTCCGGGTTGTCCTGCACGAAGAACATTAAGTCGCCCTGTCTTATCCACTTGCCGGATTTAAAGATCCCACACCTTAAACCTTCCGCATCCCTCTCTCGCGAAAGTGGCCTTGTGTGCGGTAATGTGCCGGCAAAATTGTCAACTGCGCATGACAGTGCTTGCTCTAGTGACCGGCCGTCTATGAAATTCAATTTATATGTATGTATGTTGAACTTCTTTCACACCATACGTAGCCAACGACGTTAATCAGAGATGCAGAATCCGAAACGAATGTAATCTTTGGTGTTGGTGAGTGACGTGCAGCAGTAGGGTACTAACTTCTGTCGACGTATTGCATTTGCAGAACATTATTTAACGTGCCGCAGAGAAATAGACATTTTAATACAATAATGAATCATAAGTATCGCCGGCGGCTTTGCTATTCATGGCTACACTACAGTTCGACGATCGTCATGTCACATTTCATGGAGTAAAGTGTGCGTGCTCCCACCGGTTAAAAGACATCTGGCCAGCATGGAACAGAAGGCGCTCGAGAGGAATTATTTTTTAGCTCCCTCCAGCGGGGAGACCCTTCCGTCAGCAGTGGCGTGAAGAATTAATTGCAGGGCTGCACCTTTGCCACGTTTATGATCCATTCATGATTTCATGAGCGAATCCGAACCCCAAGGAGAATACGTATTCAGAGAATTTATATCAATATATATGCTGGAGATCGTGGGTTCGATCCTGACCCTGATGCCTGCTGTATATTTGGAGTTTGCGTGTCTCTCTCCCTGTGGTCACGTGGATTTTTCTCCGGGTCTTCAGGTCTTTCCCTCCACATTTAAAAACACGCGGTTAGAGTTTTTTGCCTGCTGTACACGTCCACATAGACCACTTCGTTGAGCTATCATTTGTGGCCAGGTCGCTTCTGAAAAAAATATATATAGCTCAGTGGACCTTACCTGGTTATATAATAATAATTAAAATATAAATAGTGTACTCTACTTAGACAGCTGGAAGAAACTGCACTACATCGCCTATAATCAAAGCTGCATTTTGCAAAATACGAGCAGCCGTTGGAGGGTTCCTTTTCAAGCTCAGCCTCTTATGTCGGAGTAATTATTCAATGTCACGAAAGTAATGAAACGGAATGGGACATTTAGTCTCGACAAAAAAAATAATGTAATCTGATTAACTTCATACTTTTTGTAATTGCTTTTTTGTTAAAATAAATGTGGAGCACATTCTGCCGGGGGTGGAGCGGTAGCGCAGCGTTCTAGCGCACTGCATTGTGAACCAAGCAAACCTGAGTTTGATTCCCCGCCAAAGCTAACATCAGTCGTGAGTGATACCTGTGTAGGGGTGTTAGAGAGAGAGCCGTTATGCATGGCAGCTTATGGGAAACAAACACAGTGGGCGGGGCTACATGAGTGCACGGGGGGGGTGGTGCTCTCAACGACGTCCGCACCAGGCAGCCCGGGGCCCCACCCCTCAGCGGGGGTTGAGTATAAAAGGGGATGTGTCAGAGGGCTCGAGGAGAAATGTTAAGCTAACGAGAAGACTGAAGACATCTTAGCTAGAAGCCCTGGACTCCCCTAGTTCGACGTCCTTATCAGGGCCGAACAGGATCGAGCCAGCGGCGTGGTTCCGAGAGCCAGAGCCGGTGCTCTTGTCAGAGCAGGTCTGGGACTCCGGGTACCGGGCCCGACTTACCAGTATCGGGCCAGATAGCCTCCCCTAGCCCGTTAGAAGGAGGACTAAGAGGCAGGCTAGGGTAGCTAGCGTGTGTATTTTCCAGCTAGCCGGGTGAGGGGGCCGATACCCCCTCGAGTGTTATATGCCCACTGTTGTGCTGTGAAATAAACCCGTGTGCCTCCAACTCCGGCGTCAAGAGTCGTCAACGGTATTACATCTGCACCAATTCTGGTCTTTCCCCCCATCTCCTGCCTTCAACCCACACTCCCGGCGTGGTGGAGTATCGTGAAACAATCCCAAGGATTGGCATGCCATAGGGAGGGCCTTCATCCAGCAGTGGATTGACAGGGGCTGTCAATGTATCATTATCATGATTACATTGCGTTCATCTTACGTCTGAAACAGCATCACTGCAATATAAGATCACGTGGCAATCTATCTTGTGGATTGTGGGCGAATCATTAAATAAATAATGAGGGGTTCTGTATCATCATCGCCGTCATCATGAGCCATTTCATCCACTTCTGGATGAAGGCCTGCCCCAAGTTATCATCTCTCACGATCCTGCAAAGTGATAATTATAAAAATAATAATATGAACCCAGCACGCACGTGCATACGAGCCCTGTCAGTTTCCTTAGCCAGAAGTTAAATAATATTCAATTTCATCCACGGGCAGATACTTTGCTAAACGCTCTTCTTCGTGCAGTCGTAGGATGCTTTCTGTCTGTGTAACAGTTAGCAAGCTAGACCATTGCAGGCCTAAGCACGAGGCATTGCAGGGCTGCACCTTTGCCTCTTATCCGTGTGGCGTTGAAGTATATAACCCCACGTCCATTCTCATCGGCTGCACTCACTTTAACCCGAGGTGCCGAGTGTCTCTAAAATCAGATAAGCGCTTAAAAGCGCAGTAACGTAATGGGATTACTAACGCCAGCCCACTTCTCAGCGTCTGGTGACGGTGACCCGTTGCCTGCAACGTATTTACGCCCCAGCGCTGAATACCAATTGCTTCACCAGCCCTCCCTCGTTACGTAAAAGGCGTGGGGTACGTTGCCGAGTAACCGGGGTAATATTTTCTTCTCTCGTTTTTGCCAACAGCTATTTAGGAGGGAGTCGCACAAGAGTGCCCAATTACGGTCGGCGGCAAAAAATAGTGTGCCGAGAAAACTGTTTTCCAGTGAGTGCCAAAGAGTGTTGGCGCGTGTCTTTTTTACGTTGTTGTTGCTGAAATAAAAATGATTTTGGGCTGGCATGGTCTTTATCCGTGATGCCGCGATCGTTTCGTGGCGTTACCAGAGTCTTTTTCGTTACAAAAAAATACATATCTAATTTCTTTCCCGACCCCCTTAGTGGAAAAATCAATAAACAAACAAAAAATAGTCACTGGCCCTAATTCTCGCGTAATTAAACCCTGCCCGGAGTCGGGCGCGCGACGCTGTAATAATCACGGTACGCGGCGCAGCCAGTGATCCGGAAACGAGCTGCTGGCAGCAAAATTCGCGACACGGATAGAAAAATATTGAATGGAAAATTGCGGTCGATCGTTGGCTCCTTTGACCATTGTGGTTTGAAAAAATATATTATTTAGGCAAAAAGTACGTTTTATATATGAATTTGACGTTGCATAACATCCCGTACGTAGTTTATGTTTTTTTTTATCCTGCATGAATCGTAGTTGGGTTTTTAAAGGAATATTTTAGGCCCTTTCAGAATCAGGCGAACGAAGGAGGAGGACGTGCCGCTTTCGAAGGTGTTCGTGGTCGTGCCGTAAAGTGGTCCGATGCGTTTTTTGGGTTGTACTGCTGTGTGGTTGTTTGGCACTACGTCCGACGTTTCGCCTCACGTGCTGGGAGCTTCTTCAGGAACTGATCGAAGAAAAAATTGAGAAGCTCAATACAGCTTTGAGCATGTGGAACGAAACGTTGGACATCGTGCCGAACAACGAGCGGCACAAAGCGAATACACAGCCGGGAGCCACAAAGAAATCCTTGAATTTCAACAAAGGGGGCAAAGGTTCAGACTTATTTTTTTCTATTATACTGGAGGAATCCGACCAGCCACGGTCGAAATGGTAAAATAGCACACCGCGTTTACCGAAAGAAAATGCATACTGACACCAATCTGAATGCAGTCACACCACCACCCCGCACAGAAATCCGCTCTCATGAAGACGCTCATACATCGAGCTTAGAAAGTGTCAGATGGCGATAGTCTGAGAAGTGAAATTAAACATGTTAAAAATGTTAAAGCAGTGCTGCAATTGAATGGTTACAATGATGCACAAATCAACAAAACCAAATCATATAACACAAGAGTTGAAACTGACCAAGTAATTAACACTATTAAAATACCATACATTGTGGGAGTAACTGATAAACTGGCCAGATGTTTGGTAAAACAAAACATCCGAATCAGATTTGGCATGGTACATAAAATACAGAAATGTTTTTCTAGTACAAAAGATGTATTACCGAAGCTATCAACAGAAGGTGTGTACTGGATTAATTGCACGTGTGGCAAATGCTATGTTGGGCAGACAGGTCGGATGATCAGCACGAGACTAAAGGACACCAAATAAATATTAAACACTCCCAAATACAACTGTCGGCAGTGGCAGAACAAGCGTGCCAACAAGGACACTCAATTGATTTTGATAATGTTGAAGTTCTGTTGGAAACTAGTTACTACTGGCCAAAACTAATTCGAGAATCTATCGAAATTTAGAGAATTTAAAATAATTTTAACCATTCAGATAACTACATACTTAGTGCTGCATGGAAGCAAATCATCAAATAATACATTATTTAAATACATGCCTATACAGGTCACCATATTTCCATAAGGATTACCGTTGGTAGGCTATTTTAGTACAAATAATTGACGGGAGAAATATTGACATAAAGCTTTCGTGAATGCAGGAATTTATATTCTTGGGCTCTGCGATCTCCCATTAACATGCTAATCTCTCTTTAACATGCCAATTTTCACCTGGCAGCCCTTTGATTGGTGGAAAACCAACCACCATTGGGTTGGCTGCCCACCACTTACATTATCATTGGCTGCTGACATTTGGGCTACGCCCATTTCAAACCCTTATAAACAATTTGCCTTGGAAGCTAAACCCTCTTTTCCTGAAGACGACCGTTTATGTTGCAATCGAAACGTCGTAGTTTTTTGTTATTTTTTGTTATTTTCTTTTAACCTATCTACGTGACTTTACCGAAAGACCCAAGAATATAATCGACAGGAAGTACAAGAACAATGGGCTTGCATAATGCGCATGCATAATGTACGTTGATTACCCTATACATAACCCAAAAGGCAATGGATACCCATAGTCATATGCATTCATGAATCCCTCCCCCCCCCCCCCCCACTTTGTGCAAAATGACCACACGAGTCTTGTCATCATCACATCTACCCCTCTAAATAAGGAACGAAACAGGAGGATTTCTCCAGAAATCTGGCTGTCGCCTGATGAAGCTAATTGTAATTACTGGTGAAACGTCGTACTTAGATTGTAAATGTTGTGGCTTTGCCCTCCAACACACCGGTGTGCTGTACTAATAACGAATTGTCACGTTCTCTTTACATGACAAACCTTTCTTATTGGCTGTGTCGAGTGGTGGCGGGTTTAACGACACATTTATATTTTTACGTGATTTAACCCAAAAAAAAAACCCGTATTATGGATACAAAGCTCTTGTTCGCTGATGTCCAATAGCTATAAATAGCATGTGTGTAATTCGTGTTGCATGCTCGTACGGAGACCCTCCCAGCAGAGGCGAAGTCATCCATAATGGAAAACCAGAGTACTCTAGGTAATGAAAAATATATGACGATCTGTTGAGTGACTTAAAATGTCACCACCTGGGGCCCACCAATGGTTCTATTGTTTTCTCGGAAGTCGCTTAAAACCCGGCAAATTCCAATAAAACATTTCGACTCATCAAAGATCTACGGTCAATAAATCAATTTCACTGTCCTGCAATTTTCTCATCACATTCGTCTTGTTCAGCTCATTGCTGTACTCGTACATTTATTAACTAATTGCAGAGATCTGTGCGGTTCCTTTTGTGTGGTACAAAATGCATTGTTATTAATCATTCCTACGAAAGGCATTACATCCAATTAGCTGGAAAAACGTTGTACACATTCCCTTGCTGCACCCACAGAGTAATTCAAATATGTAAATGACAAGCAAACCCATCACCATGACAGAAAAATCAGTTCGGGCTGAAGCACCAAGTTTCATACAACCACCAGAAACATGCTTTTTGCTGGCTTGTGCAAAACTCATCAACAGTTCCTGAATAACTGCATGTCAGCCAATGCTGCCGAGAGTTGGTCGCATCTGCTCAAATGTTTACTTCATGGAGGTGATCTAAGACAAGAGGACCACAATGCAGTTCTTCAGGAACTGTTGATGTCCTTTGCACAACGCACGAAGGCCCCAGCGCTTTTTCTATCCATTGAGTCGCGTGAAAAGTGGTTCCCTGTGGCTGCACTCCATCGGTTTTCAAACCTCCGACGCACAGGGCGAGACCCTTCGGTCAGAACTGCTGTTAGCCCCGCCACGGAGAAGCAACTTACCACCACGATCGTGATATCAAATCCAACCATTCGTTCATTTGGTAGTGGCGCTGTTCATACGGCGCAAGGCTATCGCGGAAACGCGCCCTGTTTCATGGACGGATGCGATCTGCAGCAGTTCATAGCAGGGAAACGATGCTGCTCCTCCGTTGTTTTCCCACTCGGGTACACGAATGGGCGTGATGACCTCAAAATCACGAATTGATCGCGCGGCTTGAACGATCTGCCGGATCACGAACGCCACTAGAATTCTCCCTCTTCCGAGCGGCGATCGAAGGGCTGAGTTGTATGACCCCCACCTCCCCCCCACTGCGCCCCCCCCCCTCCCCCACTGTTGCGCGCTTCCCACACCCGCAGGATGTGAGGCAGTTCAAGTCTCTCAAGACGGGACGGGGCCCCCTGGCCGAGGGCTGGAGGGACACGCTGGGGCCCATCATGTGCTCCTACAAGCTCGTCACCGTCAAGTTCGAGGTGTGGGGCCTGCAGACGCGCGTGGAGCAGTTCGTGCACAAGGTGAGAAATCCCCCGCTGCTCCGTAACACGCGTGGTGTGCACGCGTGTGTGCAATGTGTGTGTCAGTCAACCCATGGCACCTGGGTCTGTCCCGTGACCTCCTGCCGGCGGGCTAACAGCACTTGCCCCAACAGTCTGTTAAGGCTATATGGGCGATCTTTGTTTTCGGTGTGCCGCATGGGGAGCGGTAGTGTAGTAGTTAGCAGAGGTGGGACAAAGTCATTGTTATGCAAGTCCAAGTCGAGTCTGAAGTCATCAAATTCATGACTCGAGTCTGACTCGAGTCCAAGTCACATGACTCGAGTCCACACCTCTGGTAGTTAGTGTACTGCGCTACAAACACGGCGAACCGGGTTCAATTCCCACTCATGGCAACGACCAGTGACGATTATCTGAACCGGGACCTTCCCTAGGTCAACTCAGCCTCAAATGAGAACCTGGTGCGGTGTGTAAAATCATCACCGCTGGGGAGTCAATGACAGCCGGGCGTGGTGCTGGCCACCCACCCCCTCGTGTGCCGTTCCGGCCTTCATAGGTGCTCCCTAACAGCACTTTGCCCCAACAGTCTGTTCAGGCTATACGGGGGGGGGGTGGGGGGGGTGAATCTTTGCCTTTGGTTCTGTGCCGCGTACCCGCGCGCAAGCGTGCATGCTCACAACGCGTGCTGGTGTGTGTGCGCCCCGCAAGCAGGTGGTGCGGGATGTGCTGATGGTGGGGCACAGGCAGGCGTTTGCCTGGATCGACGAGTGGTACGGTGAGTCCGCTGCGCACCGGATCCCCCCCTCCCCCACCCCGTGGGAGACGTTCAACAAAGAATTCAACATTCGTGACCCAAGACGGAGGGAGCCCCCAGCGCGTGCCGATGGCGGAACACGGAGGCCCCGGGGTCTGGGCTTCCCAGCGTTGAGCTTTCCTCCGGTCGAAGCTTTTCGCCACGAGCTAGCGACGGGGTTTTCGATTCCCGGGGGTTGCATGGCCCTTCGCGAACGTCCGCGCTTGGATTGCAAGTGGCTGAGGAAACGCACGAGCTAGTTTGAACACGTGATGTTATTGTTCACTCCCGCATTGATATCATGTGGGGCTGAGCGGGGGGGGGGGGGGGGGGCGCGCTGCCCGGTCGATTTAGTGAGAAGGTTGTAGGTTTAAGATGTAGCGGGCTTTCGCGACCAATGTTATTCATTATGAAAGTATTTTGGGTTAGATCGCGTAAGTATAAATGTGTCGTAACCCTCCACCACCCGACACGGCCAGTAAGGTTTGTCACGTAAACACCGCGGCAATTAGTTGCTACTTCAGCCCACCGGTGTGTTGAAAAGTAAATCCACAACATTTACAATTTGAATACGACGTTTCGCTGGTAATTAAAATAATAAAAATGATATATAAGCCAAGTCAGTTCACGTGCAGGTGCAAGGTGAATGAGCACATCACAGGATAATGAGAGTTGGTGGTTGTGGTGCCTTCTTGGCAAGGCCTTCTTCCAGCAGTGGATTGACCATGGTTGATAGGGATAATTGCAACTCACTACTCTATGGGATGTCTGGCAAAAAATTGTTTTACCAAGCTGCTGCATGTACAACATTCGACCGTGTCCGTCCAGTCTCCACCGAGCTGCATTGGCTTTCGGTTGCCGAAGGAATTCATCATGAGGTCGCACTCATTACACTCGAAGTGCTTGGCCACAAATGAATGACAGTGTCTTGCTTTTAAATTTCGATTTAAAGCTTTCGTGACTGCAGGGATTCATCTTCTTGGTTCTTTCGGTAAAGTCACGTAGAAGGGAAGTAATAAAATAATAAAAATAAAACATAATAAAATAAAATAATTCTCACGACGTTTCGGCTACAACGCAAGCAGCCGTCTTCAGGTGAAGAATGTTATGTTTTATTTTTATTATTTTATTACTTCCCTTCTACGTGACTTTACCGAAATAACCAAGAAGAAGTGTCTTGCTTGTCTGGTCACGAAGAAAAAAAAATCGCACCAACTCTGGTCATCCTCGCGGTGGCTTTTGGCGAGCTATCGAACAAAGAGGGTCACTGCATTGTGCGCTTTTGCGGCCGTCTGGAACGCTCTTCCTTATCATGTTAGGAAGCCACTGAAGCTGTGCACTTCTAAATGATCTGGATTGAAAACTAATTTCTTTAGAACTGCTTTTCATATTTACTTTGTTGTCATTCCCGCGCACCTCTGAAGAGCATGATTGGCTATGTTTGTTGCGAAGAAAGATCAACACACACACTTACATACATGATTGTGACTTACAACCAGGAGATGGCCCAATGAGACTGTAGCCTCTATTTTGCAAGGGTGACATTTTTTGAATAATATTAGAAAAGGTCACAAATTCTGACGAAGAGTCTGCAACAGAAGGGGCAATCGGCAGCTCATGTCCGCAGCCAATGTTGCGGTTTAAACGCTGTTCGGGCGGTGCACTCCATGCTGTTCAAATTGGTCGAACGGCCCCACTGCCACCACCGTCCCAGACACCTACATCTCCACGCACGCTTCGCCAACACAGCAACCACAATTAATTTGGATGGGCGCCGTCGTCTCGTCATCCGCCTCCTGGGATGGAGCACCGCTCGCGTGAGCAATTCCGTTCCAAGGGCTCACAAGGTCAGGAACTTCATCCCGACCGGCTGGATCGTCCCGTGGCTGGGCCCTGCCGCTGTCTGTGAACAGAGAGATCGCTCGCTTCGCTCACACCAGCTTCCTTCCCTCTGGCCTCCATTCAAAAAACGTTGCCGTCTTGAGCTCTGACCCAGGCTGCGTGTTCCTGCAGAGACTGTCGGTCTCATGTGCGACACTTTGCCAAAAGCTGCGTCACTCGCGTGACTGAACTTCCCCGCACTACTGACGATCACAAAAAAAAATCATTTCAGTTCACTGGAAAGCATCTTTTGGGAATCAAAACAACGATGGCTTTTCGATGTTCAAAGCATCACAGCTGAACTTTGTCAAATGTGGGCAATGCGTAGGCCACATATGGCCACAGTGGTAAGGGTGCTATCGCTACCCTGACCCTCCCTTCCGCCACCCCAACTTTTACCTGGCTGCCTACAGGTGAGAACAATGGCGTGTATCCTCCTACACCGAAATTCCTGCGGGCAGGTGAGCAGGAGCCAATTGACTTCATTTTATTCCCCTTTGGCCTGAGCCGGGAAGTCGAACCCATGTTATGTGCTTCTTAAGTGAAGCCTCCTTGAAGTCTAACCCTCTGCTTCGGGGGCTCCTCGGCACTTGCGGAGGCAAGCTGCCCCTCCCCTCCTCCTCCACTTCCTTCTCGCCACTTTTGTCGAGTGCCGTAGGTGAAATCGATAGCACGTTCATGTTGCGTGCGAACCAACATGTGTGTACATGTGCATGAACGCACGGGGTCAGGTCAGGAAGCTGTCTCTGTACCCGGCTCGTCAGATCGAGTGTAACCTCTGGCTGTGGGTGCCAGTTACGTGCCTACTCCAGTGACGGTAAATATTCAGTGAGACTTCACAACATACACACGTATAAAATAAACACACGCGCACATGCAAATGAACATGTAGCATTCGGAAACCAAAACGTTACCAATGTCATTAGAATATTGGGAACATCATTGCCGACGAAACTTAGTGCAGTATTCATGACCTGCCATTCGGAGAAAGAAAGAAAAAAAACCCGCTGTATCGACGCATAATTTCGCATCAATTTTTAGAGCCCGGATCAACGACCTTGTTGCAAATGACTTTGGCCTGTGCCCGCACGTGAAAAAGGTCAAATGCATCGGCGAGCATTCCGTGATGTGGCAGTCACTGGCAGAGTTTTGTCTATCGCGCCCTTGTCGGTGGCATTTCACGAACACAACGCACGCACTCTCGTACGCGGGTCAGTGGGGGGTAGTTTTGGAAATCTTCGCCCGCAACGCCACTCGTGGAGAAATTGAACCGAAGTCGTTTGAGTTAATTGGGGAGCGCGGCGCAAATTGGCATCGTTTCCACCGCCGTTTGGGAGCTCGATTCGCGAGTCCCAGCGTTGTGATAGCCGCGCCCGGGGATGCGCGCGCTCAAATATACTAGATTCTGACATTTAAATGTTTTCAATGTTTGCAAGAATAAAATGCAACTTTTCGAGAGTGGTCGTGCAATGTTATTCTCCTCCCAATTAAATTCTCCTGCGTGCTGTCGTCTGCGACAGTGGTGCCGTAGCGCGACGGGGGCTAAGGGTCCACAATTGAAAAAGTGACAACGCTTTTATTCCACTTGTGGGTTGCCTTTGCCCATCATCCATCTCGAGGTCGATAAAAGTAGGACCGCTTTATGATAAGTTAACAGTGGTTGTCTTGCGACGAGACTGACCACCCCACCTACCCCCCCCCCCCCAGCATAGGAATGTGGAATTTTCATCACTGCAATCAGGATCATAAATTTGGATGAAATTAACGAGATGCCGAATTTAGCATGATACAGGAGAACTCCTTATTTTACGCATTTTTCTTTGGCAAGTAAGAGTTCTTCAGTAAATATATCCTGTTATCCGCACTTGTTCTCACGGGATAAGCATTCTTGGATAACCGCATGGATAATATGATCTGCCATATTAGTTCACACGCTGTTACATCACCGGTGCCTAACCCTAATGTGGTGTCGGATAATAATTAAGAAAAACAATTGAATGTTTACAACAACAACAACAAAAATCATGCTATTTGGTTCTTTCGGTAAAGTCACGTAGGTAGAAAAATAAAACAAACAAAAAAATAAACAAAATTATCCCTACGTGACTTTACCGAAAGAACCAAAGAGTATGGATTCCTGCAGTCACGAAAGCTTCAAATCAAGAAAAAACAAAAATCACTTTTGTTCGGATAGCAGCGAGTGGCGAATTGTAACATTAAATTGCTCAATTGGTGAACTACGGGTTAAACAAGACGGCGATGTTAATTGGAGCATGAGTAATGAAGTTTCCAATGGAACACGTGCTCGTTTCCGTAGCGGAGAGCGAGCAAAGTCAGGGCTATGGATTTTTTATCGAGGTGTCACGTGTGATGTCATTGACCTTGTTATCTGAGCTCAGAATTCCTGCTGCTTGTGACAGGCACAGCAGTGCATTTTTTTGTTGTTGTTCCGTAAATGTTTTTTTTTTTACGACTTACATATAAGCAACGATTTTGCTTAGGATGGCCGCATATTTCCATTTACAAACCGCGCCAGAGATTGTAACGATTCACTAAAACCCCGACGATTCGACGAAATTGTGGCCGCGGTGTCAGGGTCGAAAAATGCAATCGTCGATTCCATTTCTGTCTCGCCCTGTACCGCCTTGTTTTGCATTCACTCGTTAGTGTGCACGGCGCGCGCTCGCTCCACGGCGGGTCTAAATGATGTGACGTCAAAAAAAGAATTCTCGGCTCGCACGCGATTAGACGGGTGCATCATTGTGAAGGGTTTTAATATATTTTAACGAGACGCGTCGTTGTGCACCTGTAAAATAACACCAATCCGTAAGTAATGGGGGGGGGGGGGTTGAATAGAAACAAAACTTTAATCAGCATCAGCATTCTGAAGTTATCAAGCGGGCGATGAGCATCGCGGAAAGAAACGTGAAAACACCTGCATTTCGAAATTTCATACAAAGGTCCGGCATATTGATTGCATGAGGCAGCGAGTGGTTCTTAACCTTAACTGCAGCCGGCACTCCTTGGATTCTCAATAGTATTTTTGTAAAAAAAATATAATGTTAACAAATACATATCTTATTGGTTCTTTCGGTAAAGTC